CCCCAAAACCCCAAAACCCCAAAACCCCGTTATGCAGAATATATGATAGATAGATTATAAGAGCCAATAAATAAAATTAGTAATATATTTTTAATAGAAATTGCTTAGCAAAGTAATATATTTCCTATTTAAATGTAATTTAATATATTTATAATGAAGAATTAGAGACAATAGTAGTAATAGAAATAGTTCTCATAGAAGGACTCTTCAAGCAATGTAGGCTAGAGCAACAGCAACTCATAAAATATATAGATCAGTAATATAGGCCATACATAATCAAATAACAGCACATCTTTAGTAGGCAACAATATACAATCTTCATCTGCTTAATAAAATCAGACACAACAAAACAATGTGTCAGTGAATCTCAACTCAATGATGCAGCCCTAGTTACAGCACTCCCAAAGTACAGGTAATAGCTCTCTCAACAATTTAAGCGATAAAGATCAAAGTAATAGTGCACAGAACTCCCAGTAAATACAATTTAGTGCTTCTACACATAATAACTCACTGAGTAATAATCCAGGCTCAGCAGGTATACGTGAGAGCTAGTCCTTCAACTATAAACGTAAGAGATCAAAGCGAATTAATGAGGAGACAATGAAGAAAAGACCTATATTCTTATTATCAGAGGAATCAAAAGATGATTCCCTTGAGGACATCGAGGTCGCAACTACTGGAGCAGCAGCATACTTGAATAGCGATGCTGATGTGTAAGTGATTCTTCAGGAGAATGGAGATGGACTGATGAATTCATACATTAATTATGCCGAGAACTCCTCCTAAAATAATCAATAAAACGCATATGCCAACTACCTGGGACTAACAACTTAGACATCAAATTCATCTAACAATAATCAATACTTTGACTTGATTTCTCAATAAAGTAATGGAAACTACTAATAAGAAAGACCATGGAATAAATAAAACAATAATAACAACAACACTGTTGCCGAACTAGAAGAAAACGAGGTTATTGATATTTCGGATTGGTTCAACTTTGGATTTAATGAAGAAACATTTGTTTAGTTCATTAATCAGCAGGTAATTAATATCTAAAATTAAATCATTGTTGATAGATTAAGAGCAGTTTTGACAAGAATATGTAGATGAGGCTGAGCATACCATAAAAATCTGGTAATGATATGATAAGGTATAATCACCATCAATATCATCACCAACCCAATAATTAAATGCTCAAAACCGTAAATTTCACAAGTTGAATGACCAAACTCATCTCATCATCATAATTTATAATATTTGCTCATTCATTCTCATACTCATTCCTATTCTCTAGTAAGTATAAAGCTTAAATATATAATGCTAATGTATTTATATCACAAATATCATGATATATTGCAATCAAAGTAGCTTTTGGGGTTTTGGGGTTTTGGGGTTTTGGGG